ATATAAAAAATATATTAATAAATTAGTATAATTTATAATTCTTACATCTATTAAATTAACTTTCTCTTTAACAATTAAAAAAAAGTTGACTTGCTTATAATTTTGGTTGGGTAAAAAGTTACTTTTATAGTATATCAATGATTTTAAACACAATTAAACTTTGTGGTGTTTCTTAATCAAAACAAAGATAAGATTTATAGTTATAAAATAAAAACTATTGAAAAGTTTGACAAGAATGCAAGAAAAGATAAAATTTAGTAATTAAGATAAAATCTCCAACAAAAGCAAGCATTTTTATTTTCTAAAATAACATATCAGAATATAAAAAAAACTTCGAATTTTAAAAGCTACAAATTCATACAAATATCACATATAAATATAAGGTATTTGCATAATCTCTAGAAATTTCATCTCAAGTTTCAAAACACTATTTTATCCAGTAGTTTTGGAGGATCTTCGTTTGCGAGTATTGAACTATTTATGCAAGAATAGGTCTACCATTTTAAGGCCATTATCACTTTGGGTATAAAAGGTTTTTTTAGGTGGTCATGATATTTTTCAAAAGAATTTCCAGATCAATCTTAAATGTATTTAATGTGCAGTTAAATCACACAACACTTAACTTCTAGAGAAGTTTATATATTATACTGTAATCTTTATTAATTTTTTTGATAAAACATAAGTTAACATGATTCATCTATCCTTTGTTAATATGTATGTGGGTGATAATTCTGTGATATATATGCATTACCAGTATCATATATAATGGTATTACACTTATGCTTTAAATGGGTTTCTATTTTAGTACACTTTGAAAAATGTTTCACATACTTTTATTAGTCTGTATTAATGGACAACATCTATATTTGAACTAAGTGTTTATAAAATTGCTTCATATGTTTCCTCTATATTAAATATGACGTATTCAGAGAGGATTTTTAAAGGAGGCTTTTGAAGTTACCAGAGGTTCAGTTGAAGCCTTATTATTCAGCACTGGTTTTTAACTAAGATATGACTGTAAATTTATTCATATCAGAATTGTACCTTGGAGTTATTTCAGCAGTAAACTGAGAACCCAAGTCCATATTGAAATTGGATGTGTGTCTTATGTAATCCTTTTTCAAAGTATTTAAAAAACATATATGAATAATTTTACAAAGGCTTTCTTTCATTCAGTGATTAACAAGTATGGCAGTAAATATTCATACTGTAGATGTCCAAATTGACCACATTTTGTAGGCCATAGCTCTGAAACAGCTTATGTAACACTATTTAATTCTATTGCCTATTACAATCAGTTGATGGTTAATCATATCAAAAGTAATGTATTTTTAATGCAAAATGCCATTCTGTCAAATCAATGCCCAAAAGCTATTTTATATAAGCTTCTAATATATTCCAAACATTTTTTACTACATTATGTATGGGAAAGTATTTCATTTTTACTCTGTTTCAGTATATTCTACTTTACCTCCACATTAACTTCAAAAGTAACCATTACATTATAATTAATTGACTTTTGCTTTGATCATTTTTATCCAGTTTTATAATCACATAAACCTACCTGACCATTGTTGGGTATGTAATCACATTAATCTACCTAATGTAATCACATTAATCTACCTAACCATTGTTGGGTATGTAATCACATTAATCTACCTAACCATTGTTGGGTATGTAATCACATGAGTCTACCTAACCATTGTTGGGTATGTAATCACATTAATCCACCTAACCAGTGTTGGGAATGTAATCGCACGAGTCTACCTAACCACTGTTGGGAATGTAATCGCACGAGTCTACCTAACCACTGTTGGGAATGTAATCACACAAGTCTACCTAACCAGTGTTGGAATGTAATCACACGAGTCTACCTAACCAGTGTTGGGAATGTAATCGCACGAGTCTACCTAACCAGTGTTGGGAATGTAATCGCACGAGTCTACCTAACCAGTGTTGGGAATGTAATCACATTAGTCTACCTAACCAGTGTTGGATATATTAATCACATTAGTCTACCTAACCATTGTTACTTTTTCTAATTTATCTGAACTTAAGCACAGAATAAAACTTCAACAGAAAGTCAACTTTCACATATAAATGTTTCACTAGATTGGCACATCCTCAGTTGTGTATCCAGCTGCTATGTTTGCACCAGAAGTTTCTGCAAGAGGTGTACCTGTAGCTGAATTTAACATTGAATCAACATCAGGCACAGAGACTTTTGGGTGAGTACACTAGTAATATTTTGCCAATTGTACGTACACAAACCAACACTCAATTCTGGAGTTTTGATTAAGTGTACTAGTGAACCACCATATATATTGAATAATTCAAACAAGTAGAAATGGAGATATACATGTACATTAACTCTTTGAACCTGTAATTTTTTTTGCATTCTGCCAGAATTATTTTCATGTTTATCACCATAATTATCACCATACCTTATATAATTTCCTGTCTATTTATAAAAGGTGGGTAATAACATGTTTTGGATTAGTTTTCGGCCAAAGAGACAAATGTTATCGGCCGCTATCATCATCCGATGGGTAAATCAGTATTTTTGGCCAGATGCCTGTAGCATCTGCTCAGGTCTAAGGAGTTAAAACTTTATTACATGTTTAACTATTGTAAAGCATTAGTAATATAGAAAGAAACAGTTCTCTAAGTTGTGTACTTATATCAAGCAGCAGGAAATTCAGTAAATTTTGCATACTGTATTATTAAAGATGTGACAAAGTGTACATTTAGATCTACTTTAGGTGCTGATTTCAATTTATAATTAGTTGTTGTGTATGAATTATTTTTATATTTAACTACAAGCTTTCAAACATTCAAGTTTGGAGAAGAAATAACAGTAATAACACAGAAAGGAAAATGTTTTACTGTAATAATGAGTCATATTCTTGCCTTATAAAAAAGAAACTATAAGCTGGGAATGAAAATAGGTATTCTACCAGAGTTCCACAAAAGGTAGGGACTTCCAGTCAAAAAATATGAAGAAAAAAGGAAATTTTAAACATAAATGTATGAACTCTTTATATAAATAGAATTAAAATACAGCAAAAATGGTCTTTCCTTTGAAAACTGTGTTCAATAGTGGCAATGTACAGAGGAAAAACTCACAAAAGTACCAAAAATTGATCACATTCTCCTTACTTACCTACACAGTTTCCTAGTTCCATACTACCTTGTAAATTATTTGTTGACCATACATGATCCAAGGCTCTGCCTTAAACATCTAAATGTATTTAAGATCATTAAGCATCAACTGTATATAAACAACTTACTAATAGATGTACATTTCTAGCTTTCATTGTATAAAATGAAGCGGGAAAAGGGAGAGAGATTGTAATTTAAAAGTGGGTTATTGCTATAACCACAATACCAGACAAGCTGTATCTAACAATGTTAAATAACACAGGCCTGTGATGGTTTTATTGTCTTGAAATTTTTACATATTCTACAGTAATTCTGTATGCTAAATCAGAAAATGATATCCATTTTTCTCCATCACATACAGATTGTTCACCAAACATCATACATACTTTTACATAAGTGAATCATTTTCTTTGAAAGCTGGTCAAATTTTGTTATACTTGAAGTGTTGGCAATCACTGGCTATAGATTTCTCTAGACCAGTTGCAACTTGAAAGTCTTATCGATCATTCTAGAACCAAATGAGAAACACACCACTAGTATATAAACGGTTAACAAGCCGCATGATGTGTCATCTCTGGATAGTATTTGTTTGTGCGTGCACTTTGACATAATTTTTTCTTTTGAACATTATTTGTTCATCACTATGGCAACAAGAGGTTTTGTAAATGACTCAAACATATTCTGTTATGTTAGTGGTAAATTTGTTGTAAAGAAACAAAAGTAAAACAGCACACAATTCATCAAAAAAGCATATTACATATATTTTAGAACAAAACTTGGGGACCAAGACAAATAATGGGCTTTATACAAAGTTTGCACCTTTTATGTCAAAAAGTTGAGACAATGGACTAAAGATAAGAAAAAGTCTTTCCCTTTTGGAATTCCAGAGGTCTGGCATGAGCTTAGAAACCACAGAGAAGACTGCTATTTTTGCTCATGTAACGTACAAGGCTACAACACTCAAAATAAAAAGGAAATTTCTTATCCAAACCTTCGCTCTGCTATAGGACCAGTTGCTCATGGACACGACCTACCTGTACCTACTCCACCAGAGACTCTTGATATAGTTTCATCTGATTATGAACCTGATGTCAATAGAAATGATAATAGGGATTGTTTTCAACTTGAAACATCTGGAAAGGTTTCATCAAGAGATCAGGGAAATGAAGAGAAGGTATCAGGGAAGATGAAACATCAGCATGATGATTAATTACTGCTGGTCATTGAAATGAGATGCTACAGATGCAATACATAAAAGAGAGATCACAACATGCAGTTTTGAGACTAAAGGACATGGATTTCACCAAAAAATCAGGATGAATGACGATGCACATTCGTTTGACATCAGTGTTCTTCCCTTTTCTTCAGTTTGTTTGTATTTTTGTTAATGAACATAATAATGAAAAATGTTCATTGTGGTAAATGAAATAATAACTTGATCTAAGTAAGAGTTTTTTTTTTCTTCCCAATTTGTAAAAACTCCTTACGTGATAGAAAAAAATGAATATTATTTTCAAAATCTGCATAGCTGAATTATGGAAAATCCATTATTAAAACCAAAACAACTTTTATTGGGTTTAAATTTGCAAGCCTGTGTAATCAGCTACAAGCAGTTTTCAGACTTGGATCCTACTATTTGCTCTACACTTCAGAGTCACAAGCTTATACCTCTTTGATATAAGAAATTGTTAACCAGGAATAACAAATTATAATTTCTTTATACTCTCAGTAGAAAGTAATCACCAGTGATTATATGTTCACATTTATAAATTAAGTACCAGAAAATTCAAGCAATAATCAATAGTAGTCCAGTCATTCAAACTACAAACATATATATTGTGTACACATGGGAATTATAAACTTGAAGAACATAGCTTGAGGTTTATGACCATATTACATTTATGTTGTGGGACAAAACTGTTTGTGTCAGATCTTTGTGTGTGTGAGCCAGCTTCTTTACAGTAGATGTCTGTGATTTATTGGTGGAAAATTTCAACAATAAACAAACAGGACAGTCAACTTGTTTTAAAATATACTAAAACAAGTCAAACGTATATACAAATGTTCATTACACAGTTAATCACTACAGTTGAATCCAGAGCTTGAAACTATTCTCTTTTTCATCAAAGTCCACACAGCCTGGTTCAGTTACTTTAGAATCAAATTGACAAGAAGAATTGTTCTTCTCTTCTCTGTTATTACAATACAATCTGCAATTTTTAAACTTTAAAATGTGTCACTATATACTCTTTAAGGCTAAACTCACGATCATCCACTGTATATCTATCTTGTTTTTTTTTTACATGTGTGTGCTTCTATATTAGAGATGCACAGGTGATAAAATTTGTCCGAATATCGGGTCCGGGTACCCGGTCACAACCGAGATCAAGTTCTTCCCTCACCTGCCCCCCCCCCCAACTATACACAAAAATTGTAAACAAAAACAAAATTGACGTTTATTACATTTAACCGAACAATCACCAACAGGACATTAAAGTTTTACTTTCAGTGCCTAGCACCAACTTTTCAAACCCTAACCCCTATTGTTCTCAAAACCCCCACCTTCCCCAGAAATCCACTTCTCAACACATGCCTGTTATTAACCCCTATTGTTCTCTGAATCCTCAACTTTCAGTGAGCAGTCAGTCTTTGTTGCTCAGAACACGTTTTTTTTTTCTCACTAAACCAATTATTGACTGTAACTTTCAGTACCACATTAGTTGCCACAAAGATTAGGGTTTAGGTGCCTAACTTTAACACTCGGCTGGAGCTGAGCATTACCAGGCGGCCCAATATCTGGCAAGGTAACCGTACATCCCTAATAAGCTGTGGTTGTTCCCATTTCACCTTGTTTGGTTGGCCTTTCATGGTCAGATCTGTCAGTGGTGCAGTGCCTTTTGTTTGGAATGATATATATACACTCTCGACAGCAATCTGCAACTTTCTACACATTACTAGGTATTATATGATACAACAATACTTAATTAAAGCAACAAGAGCATGAGGAACATGACATCAATTCACAACAATTCAAGTACACAAATTATTCGTAAACAGGTATGTAAGAAAACTTGCCATAACTATTGCTTATAATAAATAACCTACTTTAAAGTTTGCACTATATAAACTAAATAATACTCTTGTATGTATCTAACAATAAGCCCCTTTTAAATAAAATTATTTGTAATATTTTTTCATATTATATACAAAGACTGTTCTCAGTTCATGCACAAAGTCTACTCTTGCAGTCTGCATCAATATTTGCAGTCCTCTTGATGGCCTCAATATGGAACTGATAGTTCTGGAGATATAACTTCCACCTACTGATCTTCAGACTGTCAATTTTGCACCTCTGGATGTATGCATGGGGCTGATCATCTGTCTGGATGATGGAATGCTTACCATAGAGTCATTCTGGAACTTCTGGATGGCAAATATGATGGTCAGATACACTTGTTCAATCACAGAGTAGTTCTTCTCACTACACAACAGCTTTTTACCTACATACATTACTGGAAATAGTCTGTCTTCATATTCTTGTAGGAGTACTGCTCTAATTCCAATGTCTGAAGCACTGGGCTGAATGACAAATGGTTTATTGAAGTCTGGCATTCTAAGGATTGGAGACCTTCCTAACATGTTCTTCAACTTCTGGAATGCCATCTGCTGTGGTTGTTCCCATTTCACCATGTTAGGTTGTCCTTTCTTGGTCAGGTCAGTCAGTGGTGCAGTCCCTTTAGTGTAGTTTGGGATGAACTTCCTGTAGTATTCCACTAACCCCAAGAAGGATCTAACTTGCTGCTCCTCCAAACAACTCTGAGTTTCTTTGGGTGGTCTTCCAATCTGGCTGTGTGGGTCAGAATGTCATCCACATAATGCTC